CTTTAGTTTTGATGCAAAAACGCATGATCGCACCGGCTCGCCTGGTGCGTTCCAGCCTTTGTCTGAGTCTGGTCGTATTCCATCTCTGTTTAGAACAGATCCCAGATATTTGACTCCGCTTGTTCAAAGCTACACTTTTCGAGCCTAATATGAAATCCATATTCTCTGGTGCGGTTCAGGACTGCACTCAAATTGTCTTCGTGCTTTTTTTGTGTTAACCTACCACTATGACATTACCCTAGTGGGCAACAGTGCCTTTTAACCCTACTAGCATAGTATCCATGATTTGTTACAAAATTTCAGGCGCCGATTTTACTCCACACGGAAATCTGTTATGCCGGTATAAATCTCTATGGGTATTTATAGTCAGTCGGTCTCCTGAACCTTCATCAACTTGAACCTGCAAATATGCATCCGCAAAATCACTATGCGTGAAGCACCGGCCTCCAGTTAAGGCTGCGAATACGTCCTCTAGAACCGGCAACAGGCACTGATGCAATTCCAGTGCTTCAGTAAGCTCATTTAAAAGTCGGCACATACACGTGTTTTGCCATTGGTCTTTTTTGCTACTACTATCGACGCTATCTAAACCAAATGTTCAACTTTCGATATCACCGTTGCTGTTCAAAGTGATCTAATTATTGATTAGTTGCTGTTTGTGCCGCACACGGTACAGGCCTTTTTGAACGGAAAACCGACTTAGCACTAGACTTAAGACACAACACTGTCTTAGCTTTTGTGCAGCATCCCGGTTTTTCTCGAGTATCTCTGGGTAAAATTTTGCTATTATTTCAGCCGTACTATTTTGATTGTGCTCGGAAACAGCGGCGACTGTTTCTGCCGCCTAATAATATTCTCCTGCAAGTAACATATTTATTATGGGATGGACTCCCAGTGCAGTGATTTGTTCTACAACGAATAAGTCTCTATCGTCAGGGACATAACATCGACTTTTTACGGTTGTTAGAAACTGTACGTGCAATCAAACACGCCTTCAGACTGAAGAAGCTGGCCTGATGCACTTAATGCTTCCAAGGGTATTGGTCGAAGATTTAGCGATCCGACTTGCAACCACGATCTATGCATAATGATGATTATGTCCGAGTCCTTTCTACAGATATTATTCTGACTCCGAGAACCTTTTCTTCTTGGCTTCACATCGCTTTGAATTTTACTTGCCACCGAAAAGAAGTCTTCCTTATAACCCCACTGCTTACAGTCTTGGCTTCTATGCCTTCTCAAATGGTAATCTCGAACAAAATATACTTGTCCACATAACATGATATTTTGGAGTAAGCTGATAACTTCGAGAATGTTTATTCTCCTCTCTTAAATAAAAACCTGAGAAATAAACGAATTTAGGAATGCTGTTTTGTACGGTGTCTATGGTTGATTCCAATTTTCCGATACTCTGCTCATCAAGCGAAATAACCGTTAACTTTTCACATAACTGTCCTGCCAGTTCTTCCTGCTGTTTTCGCTGGGCATCCAAGATTCGCTGGAACGTATCAGCATCAATCATCCTGATCGCCACTGTTGTGTCCGTTGCAATACAAGTTGATTTCGATTTTATTAGTACAACGAAAATACCACTTGCAGTTAAGAAGCTCCCGGTCTAGGGTTCTTCGGTTAATGCTGACCGGGTTCCCCAGTGCCTTCGCGCTCCAGGTTCTTTCGAGCCAGTGCCGAAGTTGCTCCTTGGAAGATGTTGGTTTCCACAATACCGGCCGCACAGCTCCGTCAATAACCAGCACAGTCCCTAAACTTCTCCAGTCGATCTGCGCTCTGAATTCGGTTTCTGCCTGGAACGTTCTCGAAAGGAGAACAAGGTTACTTGCTCCCAAACGACCACTTGCTTGCTTCTGATAATTGACAATCCTAATACTCAAGTGCTGTTCCTTGATTCTTTCTTGCGCAGACTCCTTGACATTTTCGAACCAAGTAAAGTGGAACTCCTTGAAAAAGCAAAGGATCAAAGACAGCTCGTGAAGCAAAAAATGGCTTTCATACCGAAATCAAGTTTTCATGCCCATTTTAAGTCTTTTGTTATTTGGCCCCGTTCTTTGACACAGAAAATGAATTCCCGCATTTCTCAGTAAGTTTGGTAGTGTAAAACCTTACTAAATTATCCACAATTTTCAAACCGCCATGACACTTTCAAATCCTATTTCACAAATTTCACAATACAAATCCTACAAATTCTAAATCTTATTTTTTTAACAGATCCTTGATTGACAGGTCAAGGATCTGCTCTCTCTTTTTAATTCGCGCATAAATCATCCTGTGATTTCCTTCTCATGAGCAGCTGTGCTCATTATCACATTTTCATTCATGTTTCCCAAACAGCTGCCCTAATTAACCACCTTAAAAGCCCATAAATTAATTCCTTTTCCCAATTTTGTTAACAGCTTTAGCTGTCAAAACAAAAATCAAATCTTCAGCAAAACCTTTTCTCATCCCAACCCTCAATCTTCTAACCTTTCCTCCAATTGTTCACGCCTCTTTGAACCCACTATAAAAATACCCTTCAACACTATTCG